CGCAAAGTTCAACGCATTCTGGATCCTGGGGGTGAGCGTGTTGCTTGATGGGGAAGAGATAACCTACGGATACCAACGCCGCGGTTCATCACGTCGATGACGGCCTCCGTTGCGTGTTTCACATCAGGGAAGTGTACGACGGCGACTGTTGTTGGCAGGACAGGAGCTAAGCGGATAGTGACTAAAAGAAGTGTCAACAGCGATCGTCAAGAGCAAAATACGTGATATCACCTTCCGTGATGATACCAAGAGTGCCCTCAGCACCGATGAACAACTTCGTGGTATCAAACCCAGCTGCAGATTTCCGAGCACGTTGGCGAGTCTTGATGACTTCTCCAGAAGGAAGAACAACCGTCTATGGGGATACCCAATCAACCAATTCAAATATTGTCAAGGGAATCAATGCATACCGCATTCAAGAACCATTCGCCTTTCGCAGTACCATACCGGACGGCATTCGCTGCGAAGGTCAACACGTCAATAATCGTACCACCGATCTATGACTACTGATACGTACTGCCTGAGCAACCAGTGCTCATCATGCCACCGATAGTTGCGCCCGGGCCGGGATCCAACTAAGTAAAAATGGTCAGGTAACGATACAGGGCCAATGTCCGAACGTACGGGAAAGAATAATGGTATGCCTTCCAAGGATGTGAGTAACGTGACGAAATTTGCATTGCGGTCTTACCCCTCTTCTGCAAAGTCTCATTAATTTCCATCCATCCGACACCGGGCTGACAAACAAGGTCGGAGTCCGCCTCTATTTTGGAAGAATATAACATGATTCAGTAATATTCGAAGAAAGGTGCATGACACACTGACCATGAATTTCGATAATTTTATTCATGCTGGACATATCAACACAAATGCCACCGACAGGGCTCTAGAGGGCCACCATCGTCAGTATGAATGGCTTTGGAAGGCAATAGACTTACACCACGATAGCTTCCCTCTAAGCAGGTACCACCAGAAAAAGGGGTGAGGGGCATACGGTACTTGACGGCAGTCTTGACAATTTTGACTACATCTTCTGTGCTCTTTGGGTATACGATGACAGTATGCAGTGCACCTGGAAGACTAACATGAGTGGGGGAATGCGAAACTTGATTGAATGGAAGTCCTCACTTGGGTGGTAATCATTCTCCGAATATCCGTGAATACGAAGGTCCTCCGGATGAGTTGAGACGGCATCGTCTGAATCAAACAAGGCCCGAAGTTCCTTGATGGCCTGTTCAAAGTCCTTCGGAGTGCCATACTTTGGTTCCGTCTCCTCCAGAGCCTCTGATGTCAGAGAAGGCTTCCCAAACGCGCTGAGGGAATATCCGATAAGCCCGCTAGCGATAGAGCCAATTATAATTGGGGACCAGGAACGTGAACTCTTAAAGGGCGCGCTCGAGCTCTGTCGACGGGAAAAGGTCAGTGCATGTTGTTTGATGGATTTGGGACGAGCCAAGTTTGTCCACAGACTGGTGGACGGCCGCAGCCGCTGGAAGCAGCTGGCTGGGAACATTTGAGGGCAAGTATATACAGTGGTGGCCTATGGGCTACAGAGATCGCTAGATCGTTAACAGTCGTGAAGAACAACGTTGGAAAGGTGGAAAAATTAGAACTGCTCTGGCTAGCACATAAGACGGGCATTAGACGACTATTATAAGATAGTTCGGTGGATTGCATCTGGGATCGCCTGGGAAGAGCAGGCGCTTGATTAGCACGCTGATATCAATATTAATCACGCCCCGGAAGACATAAATTTCCCCAGTTACATAAATAGACTTACATAGTAGTACGCTCAATACCCTACAACGTAGCCAGCCACAAAAACGGTGCAGAAAACACTACTCCGTGTGAGCGTACTAGTAGATGGCCAAATAACATATTGAGATATTTCTCATAGCCATTCTAAAATCTTCATCATGGCTTGAACAGCAAAATTTGTTCAGAAGCAAGCAACGAACTGCTTACGTGTGATGCACTGCACCGATTGAGAAAGCAGTTCACTAGCTCCCGTGACTATACTACTACCTGCTAAGCTCATTCAATCACACACACTGGCATATGTGAAGTAAGGCTACCATGCCGGTGAGTAATAAATCCTGGATGAAACCACTCATACTCACTTCATCAAACTTTGTGTCCTCCATTGGCAAGCGCAGCAATCTGCCTTTGACTTGCAAAGATTGCCAGGATGGCATTCACTATCAGTACCGACAACCATAGACACTGTCGAAGCAACAACTTGACGGCGAAAACGACTCAGAAGGTGAGACCCATTATTTGTGAAACGTGTGATCTCGAAAATAAATCTGGAAGGGGTGAGAAAACGGGTCGTTTTTATGTCCTAAACACTGTTCTGTGCAGAAATTACAACATATGACATTTGCAGATTACCAACGGACCTGGCCTCAGATCTCACAGTTGACTTAGTCTGTTCCTGATATTCTATCGTATTATTTACTTTCTGAATCCCACTCCTTTCCTCTGCTCCAAGGTCTTCATTGCTCAAACTCAAGCGGCAGTAAAATTTGTTAAGAAGTAAGCGCTCCGCATTGCACAACGAACTACTTACGTACGGTCACAATGGTGTCATCAACCACACTGCACCAACGAGGAAGCAGAAACACGGCTCACTGTAGCTTATCCGATCTCAGGGCTCTGACTCACATAGCCATCCGAAGTCAGACTACCACGCCGGTGAGTCAATAAATCCTGGATGAATTCACTCATACTCACATATACATCGATTTGTTCTAACGCGCATACAGAGAAAAGACAGCAATCTGCATCTGAGTTGCAATAGTTTCCATCTGTTAGGCATCCACCGTCCTGAGCACTGACAGCCATAGAGACTGTCAAAGCGGCAACAACGGCGAGGACGACTCGGAAAGTGAGACGCATTATTTATGAGATGCAATGTGGGATCTCGGAAATAAATCTGAAAGGGGACAGTAGGAAGACAGCTTGCTTTTATGTATTCTGTGCAGACGATAACTACCTCAAAACCACCTTCCAACAGATGTCATTTGCAATGCCAGCAGATTGCCAGCAGACCTCAAATTTGGCTTGCACTCTCCCCGGTATTTTATGACAAGGCAGAAGAACCATAGGACACGACGGTAAGATGCAATTTCATCGCCGAAAGTCGTCAACCATTTTATACGCATTATAGAGTACTGTAGCTCATCCGATCTCAAGGGTGTGACTTGCATAGGGTGTGACACGGGTGGGCGTTACCCGGGTTGGGACGAATGGTACTACCAGATGGTGGGTCCCCTGGATGGTTCCATCCGCACGGGTACGGGTCGGAGGGCGGGTATCCGCAGGCATCCGCGGGTAGTTAGTACCCCAAATAGTCGGCCGAGCCAAACTCACTACTCGTTGACCGAACTCCCACCCGACATCAAAATCAAAGCTTGCGGAGGTATAAACAAGTACACATCTCACCCAGCACTGTACTGTACTATGATGCTCACCTTATAAACTATGTTTCAGATTAATATTTGTCGTTGTCGGAGCCTATCAAAAGTATATATTACTTCTGAGGTCTCGATGTTCAAAACTCGATGTGCAGTCCGATTTGGATGTACAAAATCTATCTTCGCACCTATCTTTCCATACCTCGTCCTTGATCAGATTCGTCTCAAGGGTGAAGAAGTGTTTTATTTCACCATTGGGTACATCTTCGGCACCCAGCTCACCAGCTACACATCCACTCCATCGTAAACGAACAGCGTCTCTGATTCCTATTCTACAGTCTCCCAAAAAGAAGCGACGAACCAAAGTGGAAAAATCTCTCGATATTTGGGACGAGAGCGACAATGACATCGTTGGTATTCCAATGTATAGTCTTAATGGTTTAGATCATTGTCATTTTAGCAGCATCGAAAGTGCGTCGCTCGGTCGTGGATATTGTGTACTAGGCTACGGTACTACCTATGTCCCCCGCGGCTGCAAGTCACGTCTACAATTTCCCATGATGTACAATTTGTCACCTGCGGGTGACCCCCCACTCGTGATACTGACCTGTAGGTGCTATCGATGGACCAGTAATGCAAATTGATTTACACAGGTGTTTCATGGCTCAGCAGCAACACATGGAACCTTGAGAATCAGTACAAATTGTAACTAGAAGCTTCTAGACCTACTCACAAAAATCCTGATTTGTTTTACAATGTTACACCACCAAGATATGTGCAAACGCAACAGTATGTCTCTTTCCCTCAAATTTTCAGCGTGTGACACGATGACACGCTTTGTTTATTTTCTGCAGGATGCCAAACTCTGCCAAGGCTCTTCAGATTACACACGCAAACTCTTCTACAGACTACTGACACGGTTCATTTTTTTCGGTATTTAATTGTTTGGGAGTTGAGGCCACGCATCAAATTTTGCCGATTTGCATTACTGGGTCATCGATAGTATGGGTGCGGGTAGGCCTTCCAAGTTCCATCTACCCACGAATTGGGTACGGGTGCCACCCGGGCCCACCCATGTCACACAATAGGAATAGGCTCGCAAATCCATGCGTAGTCAGACTGCCACGCTGGTGAGTTAATAAATCCTGGATGAAACTACTGATACTCACACCGACAATTTGTTCTTTCGCGCATTTATGGTTAGGGCAGCAATCCGCACTTGTGTTGCAGAAGTCACCAGCTGCGTTGCATTCACTGTTAGCACTGACAGTCATAGACACTGTCAAAGCGGCAACAACGGCGAGGACGACTCGGAAGGTGAGGCGCATTATTTGTGAGATGTGATATGGGATTTCGGAGATAAATCTGAAGTGGGATAGTAGGAAGACAACTTGCTTTTATGTATTCTGTGCGGACCCTAATCACCTAAAATCCACCTTCCAACTAGTGCAGGGGGCAGATTTGTTTCTGCCGGTTACTATGACTGGCAAAACTGGCAAAACTCTGAGCCCCCAGCTAGGCTATGTGTATTATGTGTACCACGACATTCCTGACGATGATATCAATGTTGCCTCGTCCCATCCGTCACCCTCGCCTTTTCGACTCTTCGAGGGCTGAAAATTCAGCAGTAATGTTGTCAGCAAGAAGGTCACCTGCATCTCGAGGCTCAGTCGAGAACGGAGGTGCCCACGTGAAGAGTGCTTCAAGATCCTGTACAGTCTCGACAGCAATGCCAACCTCTTCACGAGTGTGCATGTGAGCATGGAGCATGTCGGCCGTCGGCGGGTGGACTTCCCCGCCTCCGTGGTTTTTACGGCGCTGTGGTGACTCATGTTGTCGAAGCCCGAGGTTTGCACGAATTTTTCCGAGTGTTTCAAATGTGTCAACTGAGAGAATGCCCTACAATTGAGAAGATTAATATTGTTACAGCAAAGAACTTGAGTGGATGGGTTTCAGATTTTCACGACCCTGGATTTGAGCACCTGATGATCGATGAGTTATCAGTGTCGCCGCAATATTCACGTTACTAGTTACAGGGAAATAGTTAAGTCTAATATATACTGCAGTGCTGTTGCAGTACTGCACCACTTGCTACAGCACTGAGCAGTGACTTCCCACGGCTACAATATCGAGGACTCATCAATTCACTGCCAGGATGGTTCAATGGTTGTTTCGCTTACTGTGACTGCCGGTGTTGTTGGCACGCATTTATAGCCATTGCAGCAACGTGCCTTTGACTTACAAAGGCTGCCAGGATGGTATTCACTGTCAAAGCAGCAACAGCGGCGAGGACGACTCGGAAGGTGAGACACATTATTTGTGAGATGTGATATATGACAGTATGAGACTCGGAAATAAATCTCAAGAAGATAGCTTGCTTTTCTGTATTCTGTGCAGACCCTATCCACCTGAAAACCACCTTCCAACAGATGAGTCATTTGCGATGCCAGCAGATTGCTAGCAGACCTCAAATTTGAATCGCACTATCCTCAGTATTTTATTGCAAGACTCGTCATCTATATTCTGGATTCCACTCCTTTCCTCTGCTCTAAGGTCTTCGTTACTCAAAACAGCAGTAAAATTTGTTAAGAAGTAAGCATTCCGCATTGCGCAACGAACTACTTACGTGTCACAATGGTGTCATCAATCATACTGCACCGATGAGGAAGCAGAAACACGACTTACTGTAACTCATTCGTTCGGGTCCTGACATATCCATGCGGTGTGAGACTACCACGCTGGTGAGTCAAGAAATCCTAGATGAAACTACTCATACTCACATATTGGTCAATTATTTCTAGCAAGCATTTATAGCCAGAGCAGCAATTATCCACATTTGAGTCGCAAAAGTCTTCAGCTCCTTGGCATTCATTGTCAGCACTAACAGCCATAGACCCTGTCAAAGCGGCAACAACGGCGAGGACGACTCGGAAGGTGAGACGCATTATTTGTGAGATGTGATATGGGATCTCGGAAATAAATTTGAAGAGGGGCAAGTAGGGAGACAGCTTGCTTTTATGTATTCTGTGCAGATCCTACACGGTGAACCACCTGATTTTCACCTTCCAACAGATGTGACATTTGCAATGCCAGCAAATTGCTAGCAGACCTCAAATTTGAATCGCACTGTCCTCAGTATTCTATTGCAAAGCAGAAGAACCCTAGGGCACCATGGTAACGTGCAATTCCATCACTGAAAGTCAGCAACTCTGATCAACGCTTTAGCGGCGGCGGCGGCCTAGTGTGGGGGGCAAAACTACTTGGCTTTAGTTTTGCCGGTTATAACCGTCAAAACCGGCAAAATTTGGCAATGTCTGACAATGCCAACGGATCCGCTCCTACCCTTTCATCTAACCCCTCTTCAGGGGAACACCCAGAGTTTGACCAAAACTCCGTTAACCAATGCCTTAAGTTCGTCGAAGACTTTGGGAAAGGGCTTATATAGAAAGGAGACGCGTTGTTGGAAATCCAAACCATCCTCCAAGCCGCTATTGGGGAATCGGATACGCTCACGCAACTTGACTTTAAACCGGGCTTCAAACACTTCCTCGAGCTCCTCGACCTCGCTGCCTCTGAAGACCTTTCTTCAGCGGAACGATCCAGAGTTAATGTTGAGAACGAGCCTACCAGAGGAAGCTCGAAATCCCCAAGTCAATCAGCTAGTACCCTCCGCTCTTGTTAAAGAGAAAGATCTCCGAACAAGACTACGAAAACGAGTCCAGACCGAAGAGGAAGAAGATAATGAGTCCGGTGATGAACATGAGTACGTTTTGCGAGGAAAGAGACAGAAGCTTACCTCCGAACGCGTTCAATTCTACCCCTGGCTCCAACCAGAGGAGTATCGTCATATCTCCAGTAAACAGGCCGAACAGCTCACCCTCGACTGTTATGAAGAGTGGTCAGAGGATTCTAAGTACTATCGAGGACAAGTCACCGGTACCCCAGGATGTCCCAGTTTTCCCTTGTCCCAATGGACCCTCCTACTCGAAGGACGAGCTCCCGACCTTGAAAAGGTCTTGTCCGGACATTATTCCACCTCCATTGATCCTAAACAAACCCAAACTCTTGGGAAAGGGTTTCGAAATCACTATGTCTCAATCGACTACCTCCCACAAAGTTAAAACATATGGGGACTGGAGTATTGCTACCGAATTATGGATTGAGGTGCTCACCTTCATCATGCCCTGGAAAGAATCTGAACTACGAGGATACAAACATTATCTCTCCGGGTTCTTTGTTGACGTCCATTACATCCTCCACTCCAGAATTATCGACTTTGATAAAGCCTGCAGACTCAAAGTTGAGGGGCAGAAGTATCTCAGATTCGATGCCGTCTCTAAGTTCCATTCGACTCGAGGTCACTCACCTCTCATCCCTTGGAATGGTCGCATACACCGAACTACAACAACTCTCTGGTTCGTCCGGAGAAAGGACTTCGGGAAAGGGTTCAGGAATCGGAAAGAGATCATCTCGTCCAGAGTCTTTCAGACGAGGAGAACCCTGTCATAACTGGAATCGAGGAGCATGTGACAAGTCTACCTTGGACTGCATGCGGTTCCATGTTTGCAGCAAGTGTAGAGGAGGACATAAGCGTGGGGACTGCCCCGTGGCAAAGACAACTAAATGAGACTATCGCTCGAGGACAGCGCTTTAGAAGACGAATGATTTGGGGGGACGAAGCTAAGTCTCTTAGTGGAACTGCCCAATGGACTGAAACTGCTGAACCCCTTCCGTGTCCACCTCTTGCTGAATTCAAAAATGCCGCCGCTATCTCTACAATCACCAAATATCCTCATCTCTTCCGTGTTTCGACTCCTATAAATGTTGATCGTTTCGAGACCCTTCTCTTACATGCCAATCATCCTAATCCTCCGTTCGTCCGTTCAGTTTGCCAAGGGTTATGGGAAGGTTTCTGGCCTTGGGCTGACACTCAGGTTGGGATCTATCCTACAACCTGGGAAATTCCATCCCCCTCTCCTTCATCCGAACTTGAACGCAACTTCATCCGCGACCAGATTTTAAAAGAGGAAAAGGTTGGAAGGTATTCTTCTAACTTTGGTCCTAACCTTCTGCCGGGTATGTACAGCATGCCGATCCACACGGGTCCCGAAGGAAGGAGGTAAATTTCGTCTGGTCACCAACCATAGTGCCAGCGATTTTTCTCTTAATTCTATGATTGCGAAGGAAGACATTGCCGGGGTTACACTGGACAATGTCCAGGACCTTGGAGATGCCATTCGTGATTACCGTCAACGTGATCCTACTGGCGACTTACACATCTGGAAAGCAGATGTCTCTGAGGCTTATCGCCATATGCCCACCCTTGGCAGCACTTTCAAGATGTTCCCACGTACTGTCAGACCCTATTCTTATGTTGAATACAAGTAGTCTGTAAGACATCATCTCTGACGAGGTCCTCCCCTTAATTTCCTGGTCATCTTGCACCTCTCCCTCGCGAGCATCGCTACTTGATATTTGGGGATGTTTGGGGAGGTTGGGTTTGACGTCTCCTCGATGTTTGCTCTCGAGCCTCTTCAAATAACCTCTCCAGATGGTCTCGACCCTCTACAAACAACCTCTCCAGATGGTATCACCATCTGATGATCACCATCTCCATATGTTGTTTTCGATGTCAGCGAGGTGACGGTGGATGTTTTTATACTCCTCTAGAGGCTCCCATGATACTTCTGGCGAATTGATTTTATTTTTCCAGTTCATCCTCCTTGTTCGAGCGTGATTCAGACATTCAGACACATGCATTGATCAATATATAGTAGATACAAACGGACTCGTAACGACATCAACAGGCAGAAAGGTCAGACGAAAAGGCTCGCGGTGTAGTTAGATGATGATACTCAATATATGCAAGGGGGAGGGACGCAGTCAATTGCGGCTGAGATAAATCGAGTTCTGTGAGTCTAAGGAGCTCGTCCTCCATCCTCCAGGTCCTCAGGATACTCGTTGGGATACTCGTGCGCCCATATCCATGCTGATATCTCCCTCCCGGACCGAAATATGCACTGCTTGGAGGGTGCCAATAACTGTCGACATATCCATCATATCCATCTCGAGAGTCGTGGTATGGGGCATCATGATACCCGCCGTTGTGATACTGAGGTTGAGGGCCATGAGAGGGTTGACGAGGCGGGCCATGAGTGGGCTGATGCTGATGAGGACGAGGCTGAGGGCCATGAGGAAGTTGTGGAGCGCGGTGCATAGCACGAGGATCATGGTAATAGTCGGACTGGGGGTACCGAGTGAAGCCTGGACCATAACGCGGCGGTAATGGACCTCTTGGACGTGGGTCATACATTGGTCTGACCTCTTGATCATGCGGGATTTCCATAGCAGGTTCACTGCGCCCGTGATTAGATGCCAACGTTGGCGTGAGGTCAGGCTGCAGAGATGGAGGACGGTCTGAATGAATGGGGTCTGTATGCATGGTGTTGTCCTGGCTTGCTGCGCGAGTTGTAGGATCTGTGTGGACGGGGTCTGTGCGCAAAGTGTTGCTTGCCACCACACGAGTAGCTGGCTCGGTCTGAATGTAATTCTCTGGGAGGGAAGGTATTTGCTGACGAATTTGCGAGGGGGACAAGGGTGGCAATGAGCGCGCGGGCACACTATCGGCATGACCAGCAGTAGCAGCAGGCTCGGTCCTCGCGGGAGCCTCTGCAGAGCCTCTGGCAGTGCCATCAGCGTCATTCCGTTCACTATCGACATGACCTGCCGCAGCAACAGGCTCAGTGCTCGCGGGTGCCTCTTCAGAGCCTCTGGTAGTGCCCTCAGCGTCATTCGGTTCCGCGCTGGCCTTTGGGACCTCTAATCACATCGTCAATTCATAGGTATGACATTGATTAATGCACAACAATTACCTTGAACTTTGGGGCCATCGCGCAGGCGTTTAGCAGGTTGTTCTATCGCTGTGTAGCATGGGTAAGTACCATTGTAGCTCACAACAAACACAAAAACTCACCTCGCGCGATTACATTTGGAGCCTCCTCATCGTCTGAGGACTCGACAGTGGAAGGTCGTTTACTCTTCTCAGCGCGTGCTTTGCCTTTCCCCTTCATGCTCTTCGGATTTCCTGCCTTCGGCAAAGGAGGCTCAGCAGGCGAAGCCCTTTTCTTCGATGCTCGCAAAGTAGTCTCCGACTTTGCCTTTCGTTTCTTAGATGCGGGAGAGTCGTCTTCATAGTCCGAGTCGCTCTTGGCTTTGTCGTCATCTTCGGGCTTCTCAGAGCCAGAGCGAGCATCGCTGACCTCACTAGACACAAGCGAAATGACTTCCTTCTTGACGATCTTCTTGACGATCTTCTTCTCGTCCTTCTCGTCCTTCTTCTGGCTCTTTGGGGGCCTCACCACCTTGAATTCACGGGGGAGGTTTAAGAACGGGTCGAACAGAACCGTCATCATCAGAGTCGTTGTCGTCAGAGAGAGTTATGGCAGATTTGTGTGATTTCATTGGCGCCTTTTTCATTCTGGTAGCAGCCGCACTTGGCTTTGCACGGGGAAGTCCCAGGCGGTCCGATTGGCCGTTTGCAAAAAGACGTCGCGCTCCTCTATGAGCGGAATCTTCTGCGGGAGGTGCTCCTTCTAGTACTGGCATCTCGGAGGTGAGGAGTAGAGCTATAAAGAAGGATCCGCTATAAGCATGTACATAATAACTTAGATTAAAACATACCTTGCGTAGCCTCGGAAACCTTTTTGACCTGCATCGAGCCTGCCTTCAAGGCCGCGATCAAAATCCCAGTCTCCTTCAGAGTCAAATTCGCGATTCCTTTGTTGGAGGTCGTATGAAAATCGCCAGGGAGCAACACATCCTCTGGATATCCTCTGATGATCATCCCGAGACGGATGAGCTCCGCAGGAAGAGTCTTCCATGGAAAGTTCCTCTTGGACGATAGTTTGCCGCCGAGTTTCTCTATTGTTTACTGTCAGCGGACAAAAAAACAACCAAATGTACTCAGACATACCGATTTGTCGACCTAACTCTTGCTTGATCCACGGGATTCCGTTCTTTGAAATATCCAGGCACTCTTTCGTCGTCTCTTCGATTATCGGCGCTTCGGACTGGTTGCGTTGGACGATCTCAGCTTCGTCCTTGAAGGCCTCGTCAACAACACCCAGAGATGTTAGATTACTTGTATCAACGCTTAGTATAGATTCCGAATGAAATACATCCATGCTTACTATACTTGGGCTTTGAGATGGCCAATGATGGTATCATCATCGGCTTTGCAACGCGTCAGCCAAAACTACAAGAGGCTCGTCAGATCATCCCCTGGGCCTCATAGTGCAAAAAATACACCTACCCCTGCAGCTCCAGGCGTCGTATGGGCCAGACCCAGAGAACCATCCTGATTGACAACCTTTCCACATGTTACCAGTGCACCCTCAAACCCGAAACGAGCAGCAGCGATATTCATCTGTGCGATGTCAGAAACGCAACATTTTGAAATCAAAGAAGTGGGCGTACCATAGCCGAGACCTTCTTGCCAAACTTATGAAACTCCTGAGCCCGCATGGCAACTGTCTGAGGCGCGCCCATGAGGACCGTGGCCTCCTCATGATACTCGAGGATCGTTTGCCAGGAGTCCGGATATTCGTGTTTGAAAAGCTCGTAACAATTGCGACGCACGGTTGCACCTTAAAATTCATTAAATTAGAAAGAAGGCATCAAACAAAATTGATAAACATTCACTTGGCGTCCCGGGACCCTCGGGAGCCTTGTCGCCGAGTCTTTTCAGCTCCTGCTGGGGATTTGCCTTGAAGTAGCTGCTGTAAGCATTCCAGTGGTTGACGTTGTTGAAGGAACGCCCGTTGCTCTTGTGCCATAAAGCGATGACTTGATGTGTGGGAATAGAGGTGTTGTGGCTGACCTCGCGAATAACAGTTTCGAGCCTCATGAAGCCCTCTTGGAGTAAGGCATTTGCCGCCCCCTGCCTTCGACCTTTCACTGTAGGGACATCGCCTTGATCGTCCACGTCCATGGCCATGTTGGACCCAAAATCTAAGTCCGTGGGAATGAAATCAGGATGAGGCATATCCCAGTCCCCAACAGTGGGCGTCGGAGGGATGATCCGTGTGTGAGGGACTGCAGGCAGCATTGTCGACGGTCCAGCTATGGGATCCCCGTCAACATTCCCATCCAAAACACTGAAGTCGATACCACGGAAGTTGTACTCCTCCTGCACAAAGGCAGGTGTAGCGAATAAGTTCGGCCGTGGAGGCTCGTGTGGAGGCTCGTGCGAGCGGGAAGGGATGATCTGAGGAGTGTCGTAGAATAAATCATTAACAGGCTGAGCCTGACCAGGGGGTGTAGGCTGTCGGGGAACAGCGGGTTGAAATGGGACTGAACGTTGTCGGGGAACAGGCTGAAATGGGACTGAGCGTTGGCGGGGGCCAGCGAGTAAGAACTCTGAGGTTGGCTCGACAAGAGGCTGAGGTGGCACTGAACGTTGGCGGGGGAGAGCGAGCAAGGACTCCGAGTCCTCTGAGGTTGGCTCGACAAGCCTTGCCCGACGCACCGATGCCTCCTTGACCAAGCCTCCATCGCGGTTGGTAGCCTTGATGTGGGTCCGGAGTTTTGTTGGAGTTTCGATGACGGGAGTCAGCTGACGCCTTCCCCTGCCAACTTGCTCCTCAGGAAATCCTCGTTCTCTGTCAGCCATGTGAGGCTCAGCGGGAACGTATTCAGGAGGAGGAGATTTTTGTAAATCTGCTGAATTTTTTTGAGTCATAGCTAGGGATGTGTTAGCGATTGTATAATTCTAATCATTGAGACTTTACCTTACGAAGACGATTCAAATGCAAGATTTGAACGAGGTTGCAGACATTTTTTTTCCTGGCAAAAGGTTGGATAGTAAGCCAAGAGCGTGAGGAGAAAAAAAAACTTGAATCAACATACCGAGATGATCTTAGAAGATGAGCGGAGGCAGGAGATAGATTGATGGCAACCTCCCTCCATCTTCATAAGGCTTAATGAAGGGATCCGCTGTTTGAACACAGAAGTCAAGAACGCCGTGATCAGTTCACTTATTAATATGGTCCAGAGATCGCCATTAGGCAGAAACATCGCCAAAGGATCTGAAGATGTTCATGATTGAGTTCTGAAAGGGTTGATAGCCATGATATGCAACTTGAAGAACAACTCACCGTGATATGTAGGACGCGTTTAGTATATACAGTTCAAGCGTCGCAATTGCAGTGAAAAGAATTGAGCATAAGCAAAGTCTTTTTTTATGTACTGTTCTACAGATCACGGTCTGACCCCCCAGTAAGCCCAGTCCGATGCGCGTCCTACTCCCCAATAAGTCCAGTAATCCCGTGGCCTTACACCACTCTCCCGCAACTCACGCCTCAGCAACCAGCGTGTTTCCCACAATAAAAAACACTTGATCTCCTACAAACCGGACAGTCAGCACATCAATAACTAAGTGAAATTCTAGGTACTCACAACACGGAATTTGTCATATGCCTGACGAACTTCCCATAGTTGCCAGTTGGTGATAGGTGCGTCCTTTTCAACATCAAAGTCGGGCAGTACTTTGTCGCACAATGGCCACCTTTCATCGAACTCATCGAATATTTCATCGATAAGAAGGTCGGTGCGGCTGTCCCAAGGTTGATGTCTTCGGAACATCGGAATTTTTGAACGCAGGAACTCGGCCTGATTGACGTCCATCTTTTGTGACAAGAGGTTGGATAGTAAGCATAGAGCGCGAGGAGAAGAAAAAAACATACTGAGATGATCTTGAAATGTGGTGTGGTTGAGAAGATGAGCGGAGGCAGCCCTCCATATTAATATAGTTTGATGAAGAGATCCACTGTTCGAAAGCAGAAGTTAAGAATGCCGTGATGACAACTCACATATGGTATTGTAGAGGCTGGCCGTTAGGGAAGCGCATCGCCAGAGCCTAACCAGCTGTCCGAGATTAAGTAGCTGCGTGGTTCGAAGTGCAGATCACCAGTCAGACGCAAAAAGACGCAAGGACGTACCGTGATTCCAACGGGCAGAGTATGTGCACACGGAGAGCTGTGAGTTCAAATGCGCTCCAGATGCTCACCGAATTCTAGAGCAGCTGTGTGGTGTCAACGTTGTCTTCAACAGCCGCATGCAAAGTGAGTGGGACAGAAGAGACAAGTAGGATGTTGCAGCATTAATATTCCTATGGAGGGCATGGACTCCGTGGAGGGCGGGCGAGTGACGGGCGGGAATATTGAACGAATCGGTCGCAATGAGTGCCTGACTCCGCTTGAAATTGCCGAGCCTGCCGAGTGGCACCTAGACTTCGGCCAGAACACTGACGGATGTTCTCACGTGGGAACCAATTCACCCAACACCGACGCCGGCGTCTATTGATCTCACACTCCGTTATCGATCTAATCCTCTGTTATCGATGGGATTCTTACTTATCTTTACCCACTCACCAAGTCGAAGGTGTCCTTGTCGAAACCCACCAAGTCTCACCAATCCAAGGTGTCGTCCAAGGTGTCCTTGTCGATGGATGCCGACCTCGCAAGACTCGAAATTCAACTCAACCACATCGCATCCAAGCATGACTTATCTGCGGAGGAAGTGTTAGAGGAATGGGTAGAGAGGCGGAAACGCTATGATTCAGAGAGTTGGAGGCTGCTGGATGGGTTACCGTGCATCATGGGCGGTTTAACCGCACTTTGTGGTAAGTCTTGCCGTCAAACGTTCAGTAGAATGTCTGATCGTGGATTTTACAGGAAACCTCAGTGGGCAGGGGTTGAACTTCCCTTGGAAGACCCTGCCCACCTTCCTAGGGAAAAATGGCTCGGTACTCTACAACTACCCAGAAGACGCACTCATGCCTGGTGAACTTCGCAACACGAACCACAAGAGCAAAGGTATCAACGACCTAACCCTTCGTGAGCGTGGTGTGCTTTCAGATGCTCTGAAAGATGGCTCGTTGACCCTCAAACGCTTCCACGCCAAAGATTATCCCCGTAGGCTCTTGGCGTCTCGCGACCCTGTCATCTATGGCGAGGCTCCTGGACCTCATTCACCCCACGCGTTCGGACGTCGCTTGTTTGTCAATGGTCGCATTGATCGGAAGGGCCCTAGGCGACTCTCACCAGACGAATCATCCCCCGCCCCTTCTCCCACCCCTTCTCCCACTCCTTCGCGTCATCGTCCTGGACCGACTAGTCGTCTCAAGGAGTCTCACCCCGCCCCATCGCGTCCTCGTCCTGGCCCAGCTAGTCGTCTCAAGGAGACACGCCCCGTCCCTTCGCGTCCTCGTCCTGGCCCTTCTAGTCGTCTCCTTGAGACGACTGCTGCCTGGCCCTTCTCGTCGTTTCAAGGAGGCTTCTCCCGGCCCTTCTCGTCGACTCAAGATGACGCAGACGCCTCCCCCGGCCCCAATTGTTAGAGGAGTCGACGCCAGAGAGCTCATTCCGGGTATAGCCTGCCTTACCCAGAATTCAACAGCGACGGAAGCCACTGGAGATGCCGTGGATGAACTTGAGATGGCCAGTCAGTCACCAGAGTATTGAGTAGAACATTAGTTTGTCGTTGTACCATACTATGCATGTCCTTGTAGCATATCCAATTTTAATTACAATCAAATCTGCCGAGAAATCACACAAGGCCATGGAGACCGACTCAAATGACAAAATTAAACAACTTTTGCGGTGCCATGGAAGGAGAAGAGATGTACTGGGTCTGGGTGCCTTGTTACGATCAGATTTTGCGACACCGATCCTCCTGTGAGGATCGCAGAAGGAGGGAGGAAGCACCCTCCGGAGAGGTCCGTCAGCCAATGATATAGATAATAAATCTCGTACAAAACAAAAAACATGTCTGTGGGGGCTCATGTGTCCCAATGAAAGCCTACAAATAGGCCAGGAGGGAAGACCTCGTCAGTCCGGTTCTGACCATATAAAAATTTACGAGGTTTTATCATGCGGAACGAGCTTACTGCATCCAACTATGATATAGTGCTAAGTAGTTCATTGAGTTGTAAGTGTTCTAACTCGCTCAGATGTACTAACTTTGAGTCTTTGACGCAACCTTTCTGCTATTCCGCTATGTACATGTTTCCCCACTAAGAGTGAATCAGTTGAACATTGTATTGGCCTCCCTACTAGCTAATTCAACCAATATATATCTAGCTAGGTATCCGACACGGCCTGTCACAAGTTCAAGTGTGTTCTTCTGTTAGCCATCGGTTGCGGCTTCAAACAGGTTGTCGTACTTATCACATATCATCCTCGACATTTTTGCTCTGAAAGGATGGTTGACAAGCATGATTCTATATCATGAAACTGGTATTCTAAGTACAAGTGTGCGTATGTAATGTCTGAAAGCTATCATGTCGTCCTCGCACATGCCCGTACGATGCGCTCCTCGTAACACCGCTGCAATCGCTGCGAGCACCCACAGCCCACAGTCATAGCCATTTGTCTGCAATGGCTGGACTACTAGCGGGCGAGCTACCCAGCCTTTGATGTCAATAAGATCTGAGCCACGACGATCGTGGGCAATAGACGATAACCGGGCGATAAGTTTCATGATATCCTATAATCATCATCGTGAAATCGAGATAGCGTGATTGAAAGTAATACTGACCTTGACTTCATTCTTCCATGGTTGTCTATCTGCGAGACTGTCAAAGAGGTGCAGTTCCTTTGTCGACGTGTAGACTGCACAAAATACCCAATGTCCAACAGGAGACGGCCGATGGATAGGTAGAAGCCACAGGTCTTTCTCCCAATATGACGTCCATGACATATTCCGCCATAGTATATCATCGGACGCGTTATATCGAATCCGAGGGAGATCGTGCGTGGAGAGAATGGCACAAGGACGTACATGACAGGTAGTTGATATCTCGGAGTAGAGCAATGCAGCGACACCATTGATACATGTGTCATTGAGTCGGGCTGTAGGCTGTGCGAGCATGGAGACATCCCTAGACTCAAATACTTGATGAGGGAAGCCGTCTTGCGCTGGTCGCACGCG